ATTCACTCAGCACGGTTCCACTGGGCGTGCTCCTCCCGTAAGAGAGACGTAGGCACCAGGAGACTGGACAGTGAACAAAGCAGACACCGTTTCCGCTTGCACGGAGCTGATATTCTGGTGGGGAAGACAGTCAAAGGAGAAACTGTGACTAGTGAAATGTATGGATTGTCGGATGGCGACAAGTGCTATGCAGAAAAATAAGAACACAGGTGGGGGTGGGGCTGGAATGTAAGGAGGGGCGGGGGGTGGGGGAGACCAGCTATGTGGCTTCTCTGGGGGCTGAGTCCTCCTGGCAGAGGAACAGCAAGTGCAAAGGCCCTGGGGTGGCAGAGGGTCCCTCATGGCTACAAGGAGGGGGAGGGGGGAGGGGAGGGGTCTAGATGGTGCAGTCCCCCCTTGTGGGCCAAGGCGAGGGCTTTGGCTTTTCCTGGGAGTGAGATTGGAGCCATATGTGCATGTGAATATATGTGTTTATTTGTTTAACCTAGAAAGATGTCAACTAGGCACTTCACAGAGCCACGATGGAGACAGTAAGGGCATCAGGGTAGGGTGTGTGGATCACACATCCCTTGAGCCTCATATCTACTCTTTTCACTTTTTTTTAATGAAAGAATAAGTCCCCATAATATTTGTGCAATTGACCATTTGAAAGCAAAACAGAGCAAGGACCCAGATCTCTGTTCGCCAGATCACGGCCCCATCCCAGCTCGAGGGACATCCATGAGTAAGCCACTGGACCACTAATGGGGCCCAGATGTGCCCAGAGGTGGCCCCAGACCTGCCTGCCTGGATACTCACACGGAGTTCAGCTTTACAGCCAGTTTATTTCCTGGACTCGTTTTAAAGAAAAACCCAGGGGAGGATCTCGGGGCCTGGCCAGCCCCTGCTCTTCCCCACCCAAGCTCTCCCAACCCAGAGGAGGGCAGTTCTTCCCTGCAGTAGAAAGCCAACCAGTAAAAATAGAAGGAATGATGGAGCTAGAAAAGTCACCATTTGGCAACCACCATAGTAATAATTGATTTAGGCAGAAATCACCAGTGAGGGCTAAACCTCGTGGGAGGAAGCTTGAGGAGTAACAGGATATTCACATGGTCCTGGAATGTCTCCCCGCAAGATACAGATTAAATACAAAAAGGGAGAAAGAGGAACTTTATCCACCTTAACCCAGCGGTCAAAGGGGACATCACCAGGAATGGGACAGGCTGACGTCATGTGCTGCGAGATAACTCGCTCTGGGAAGGGCACAGCCCGACCGCTGTGGTTCTGCCTACAGCACACAGCCAATTTTAACCCCAGGGAAGCATCAGGAAAGTCCAAACTGGGGGACATTCCATGAAAGACCTGACCCGAACTCCTCAAAAATGTCAGTCACAAAAGACCAAGGAAGGAGTTGTTCCAGAACAAAAGAGACCAAAGAGATGGGACAAGGAAACTTAACGCGTGATCTGGATCACTCCCCACCCCCACCCACTAAAGTGCTATGGAGAACATCACTGGGACTTGGGGAAGCTTGATTGTGACTGTGGATTGAATAATAGCATTGCACCAATGCTAAGTTGCCCAATTTTGATCATTAAACTGTGGTCATAGGAAAGAATGTTCCTGTCCTTAAGAAATATCCACTTAAATAGTTAGTGGTAAAAGGGCATTATATCTACGGCTTCCTTTCAAATGGTTAAAAAAAAGAAGAAGTGGGAATATGTTTGTGTGTACACAGATAGAGAAAAGGCAAACGATGTTATTTTGAAGAATCTGATGGAAAGATTTCAGTTCATTGTACTTTCCTTGCAACTTTTCTGTCAGGTTGAAATTATTTGAAAATAAAAAGTTTTAAAGAAATGTAAAACACCTGTCTCCCTTCTCTCTCCTTATAGTCTCTATCCGCCCCATATCACCCCTACACCTAGAGACCTAGGCTGATGACTTTATTGTAAATCCTCCCAGAGTTTCTGTAGGCAAATACAAACAAGAATGAAGACCATGCTCAATTCCACCCTTCTTCCCACAAAAAGGAGCATGGTCTGCATGTAATTTTTTTCCCCTTAGCTAAATGTGGTTGAGTGGGGGCGGGTCCACATCAGGACAGAAGAACCGTCACCCGTTTGATCCCCAGTCCCGCCACCCGGTCCAACATCTCCTTTAAAAAGCCCCCAGGAACTTGCTCCCACCAGCGCTCAGGTGTGCCTGGCACAGGCCTAGAAGCCCAGCCGTCACACATTCTTCAACCCAACCTTGCCCGAGGCCTCCACCCCTCTGGGCCGGCTCAGCGTCATCCCTCTTGCCTTGGGCCTTTCCCTGGCTCCCAGCTCTTGTTTCTTTCCTCTTCTGACTTGGCTAACCCCATTCTCCACCAGGATGGGGGGAATCAGTGTCAAATAAAAGCAGGCCTCAAGGCTCCTCCACTTAAAATGCCTCCATGCCTGCCCTGGGGCTCAACCAGGGTCTGATTCCTCCTCGCCACTGACAGGAGCACTGCAGGACGTGGACCCTCATCAACCCTCTCGGCAGGGGGCCAAGCTCACTCCAGCCTCGGAGCCTCTGCACTTGCGGCTGGCTCCCGAGGCTGGAGGTCTCGCTTCCTCCAGGCCTCCCCTGGAACCGGCTCTGGGCTCCGGCTCTCCCGGCCTTATCAGAGGGCGCCCCGCCCCATGCGCTCTGGAGCACATGCTCTCTTTAATTCCATCTTGGCACGTCGCTGTAGGAAAGCAGCTTGTTTATTTAGTCACTTGTTTGTTTTCTGTCTCCCCTACTAAAACATGAGTTCCCTGAGCCCAAGGACTGTCTGTCATCTGTTCAGGGCTGCAACCCTGGGGCCTCGAACATGCGGGCCTCACTCAAACCAACTGAATGGACATCCCTTTTCTGCCTCGGGGGAGCAAGGCCCTATCATCACCCTATTTCAGAGGCAGAAACTAGAATGTCCATGGGTCCGAGAGGGCTAGAGCTTTGCTCCAGGGCCTATGAGCCAAGGGGGCGTGAGCCCGGCTCTTGACTCCCGGGATAAGGGGAGTCCGGTGCACCCCCGTTGAATGCCGGCTGGGGGTTGCCATGAGGCCCACCCCTCGGGGAGTATGTGAGAACGGTTCTTCATCCCCCACGTGTCAGCACCTACTGTGGGTAGCTGGACGCCCCCCAGAGACCTGGGACACAGTAGGCCCTCAGCACATTGATGCCCACCCCTCACCCGCCCCCAGCTCCCTGACTTCCCTTCAGGGAGGCCGGCTACAATTTGGCGATTGTTAGAGAACTTTTTTTTTTTTCTCTTTTGGGAGGAAAGCTGCAAGTCATTAAGGGCTGCTCCCGGCCTGCGGGTCACCATTTCCTGTTTAGAAGAAAGAATCATCTCTCCTTTGGAACACGAAGCTCCCCCACCCCCGGCCTGGCTCTGGGGCTCCGGGGCGCTTGCGACGCCTGCCCCGCTCAGCTCCCCGCAGGAAACTGGCACCTTCAGCACCTTTTGTGCTCGAAAAGGACACTCATTTTCTCCTGGCCCCAGGAGGGCCCCAGAGGTGAGGTCACCGCGCGAGCCAGCGGGGAGTGAATTATCTCAGTCCCGGGACGCAGCGCTGACCGCCTTCCCGTCCTGTCCTCGAGCAGGAAGTAGAATGACCCCTACCCTTTGGCCTGGCTTCTCACCCTCCCGGCTCCAGCCAGCCAATTTCCTCGCATCAAAGGCCATTTGGTACCCAGCAGCCAGACAGAGGTGTGGGCCTGCCAGGGAGGCCGGAGCGGGACCCGGAGCCCTTGGAAACAGGAAGGACATCCTCTGTCCCTCCTCGCTCACCGCATTCCACTCTCATCTGGAGCAGCCGCTGCGCCCTCTCCAGAAGACCTGCCGGGCTGGGGAAGGCCCCACAGCAGGCCTGCTTGATAAGACCTGGGAGCCAGCTTCCTTCCCCGGGAGCCTGGTCGGCTGGAGAACAGAACGGGGCCACAGAGGATAAGAAACCTGCACGCACAGCACTACCACCCACCGGCCCGCAGGTGTTTCCCGACCTCCGAATCGGACAGGACATCCACGCTCCGAGGAAAACCCACCTGCACAAACAAGGTCCCCCAGCAAACCCAGAGGGCCAAAGCCAAGACCACGGGCCATGGGGAGCCCGCGAGCGCCCTGCATCCCTGCCCAGTCCTTCCTCCCTGAAGGCCCTTGAAAATACCCCCACGGCAGTAAAACCAGGTAGAATTTTTAAATATAAATTACATATAATTTATAAAACAAGATAGCTAAAGCCAGGTAGACTTTTTATATATAAATTAACCACTTTATTGAATATCAATAAACCGTACATATAACTATACAAAACGTTTCCTTAGTACAAAATGTCGCTTGCAATATAAATACCAGTGTACCTTTAAAAAATTGTAAACATCTTCCTCCCAGGCCCACCTGTCAGGCCCCGAAAATAGTTCTGGGAGACACAGTGGTGGGGCCAGAGCGCCCCACTCGGGCCCCCAACAAGGGAAGGCAATTATTCACAGTCCCTTTGGACACGTCGTTAAATTGCCCGTGAAACAGGTGCCACCATGACACACAGGAGGCTGAAATAGCTGCCCGGGTCCGCGGGCATCCTGGGGTCCAGAGGCGCTCCTGGCGTCAGGGGGCACCCCCGCCGGGCACCTGGGGGTGGCCACGTGCATAGTGAGGCGCACCTCCTGGAGGGGCGGCCTGGGGGTCCCTGGAGGGCAGGCCGGGGCCCCCTGAGTGGGGCGAGCTCCGAGCAGCTGCGCAGAAAGGCCAGCTCCATGGACACTGGGAGCAGCGGCTGCCAGGAGGGGTCCCTGCAGCAAGCCACCCCCTGACAGGAAGCGCTCCCGCCCCTCTGAGCCCGGCAGGGCATCCAGAGGACCGGGAAATGGTCCCCAGGGTCCAGCCAGACGGCGGAGCTCAGGAGCGGATTCTGTGGCAGTGACGAGGAGGCAGGGTCCTCCCTTCTGGAGCGGGGGAAGGCCGCTCCGGGCTGCAGGGAGGGCCCGGAGAGGCGGAAGGAGCCTGAGAGTCAGCGCGGCCCCCCTGAGCAGCCCGACTCTTGGTGCTTGTGGAGCAGGGACATTCGGGAGAAGGTTCTGGAACATGTCTTGCACTGGTACTTCTTGACATCCGAGTGGGTCTGGAGGTGGGCCCGGAGGTTGGAGCGGTCGGCGAAGGCGCGGCTGCAGTGGGGGCAGGAGAAGGGCTTCTCGCCTGGGGAGAGACGACAGAAGGGGTTGGTGGAGGCGCAGTCACTCGGGGAGGACAGCTGACGTCTGCTGACATCCCCAGCCACCCCCAGCCTCTGCCACCCGGCTCACCCCAACCTTGAAGGGCTCCCATGACCCAGAGAAGCCAGAGGCCTATATTCGGCAGGGAGCGCTGCCGCTTCCCACTGTGTGGCCCTGAGCAAGTCAGCGGGCTTCTCTGAGCCTCCATTTGCTCATCTGTAAAATGGAGCCGTTCAGCCCCCACGCACAGGGGTTGGTAATTGAGAGAAGGCGAATCAAATACTTTTCCTGCCCTGCCGGCAGGAGGAAGTGCTCAACAACGCGGCAGCAACAGCAGCGTGTTTGCCAAACGCTTTGTGCCAGGGAAGGTGGAAGCACTTCCCGCTGTCTCATTGAACCCCACCTTCATCCTGAGTTGAGGGATGGAGAAACTGAAGCACAGGGAATATGCAGGGTCTCAGAAAGAACCAAGCAGCCCGACTCCAGCGCCCTTGGTTTTAACCACTACAGAGACTGCCTCTTAGTTAAGGAGGCTGAAATGGGTGTTTCTTATTATCACCCCTGTATTGCCTTCCTGCGGGGACAAAGCTTAGCTTAAAAGTCAGCCTAAAAACCCCCCTCCCCCCTCCCCAGGTCACTCCTCTTCACTGCTTCCCCATCACTGGGATCACACTCAAGAAAGTGTCAAGTCTATCTGTCTCCCCATCAGAGAGAGCCCCAGGAAGGCAGGAACCTCCCCACCCCGAATCCATTCCAAACTTCCAACCCAATGCCTAGAACCCCCAAGGGGCTACAGAAATCTTTTAACCTTATGACTTCTTAAAAAAGAATCCCACCTGAGGCCCTCACGCCACCTGCCCGGCCAGGCTGTATTGGGAAGAGCCTTGCACTCAGGGCTGGGTACATGCAGGAGTGCAATAAGTGCTTGAACAACAGTGTCTTTTTTTTTTTAATAGTAAAAAAAAAAGTCTCAGAAGAGCCTGACTCCTCAATCACCACCAGACAACACCATTCAGCTTTTCATAATTCCTGTCCCAATCAAGAGACTATAACTCACATTCCAGAAACCTTACAGCAAATGCTGTTTCACTTTTCCTTGGGGCTGCGTTTCCCAAATAAAGCCAGAAGAGTAACTCATTAAATAAATACTAATCAAGCCTCTAACTCCACGCCAGGCACTGTTCTATAATACTGAATACTGTTTTCCCAGAAAAGACATTCTCCTCCCCTCCCATTCCCCAGTGTCCCGAGGCCAAGGCCCCCTAGTTAAGCCCCGGTGCTGGAAGTAAGAGCTGGGAATAAATGAATGCCGGCAGCCCTCCTGGATGCCTGGGGGCACTGCGCGGTGCTGGGTGGGTGCCCGCAGCCCACAGGGGTGCCGCGTTCAGGGGCTCAGTCTCCTGGGGCAGGGACACCAGGAACCGGGCCACCGGCGGAGCGGGGCCGGGGCCAGAGGACTGGGGAAGGGACGCCTGTGTAACCTGCTCTGCCGTGACCAGAGCGCCTCTGCATACCAGGCCCGAAGGGTCTGATGACTGCGTTCTACAAGTTCTTCCTCATTCACACCCTGCTCTGAGAACTCCAGGCCTGGGCTCTGCAGACCTGTAAAAGCGGATGCAGTGCCTGGGTTCCCCGCTTCCCCTCGCCCCCGCCTCGGGCGAGGCGCAGGAGCCCTGACTGCGGCCTATAAAGCTGGGACTTGGGCACGTGGCGGCCTTCTCTGCGCCTCTGTTTGCTCTCTGCTGAGATGGGGGTCAGGACGGCCCAGCTCTCAGGGCGGCTCCTGGACTGACTGCCGCGACACAGGTGATGAGAAGGGCCCGGAGCGCGTGCCTCCCCGCCTCCGGCGCTTGGTGAACGTTATCTTTATGTTACGTGTGATTAGACACAAACCTGGACAAAGGGGCTGGCTGGATGGGATGGGATGGGATGGGTGGGTAGAGGTCTGTGTGCAGAAGCGGGAGGCCCCGCAGGCCTCCACCCCGCCACCCCGGCCCGGCCACATCTTTCTGGTGCTCCTGGCGTGTGAAATCGGCACCAGGCCGGCGGGGACAAAGGCCGCCGAGGGGGGCAGTGTACATGCGATACTCCCTGGATTAAAGGGGCCTGACACGCTGCGGGCCGGCAGCTGCGGCCCGGAACAGGTGCTGGGCACCGCTGCCCCGGGCACCTGCTCCAGCCCCCAGTCCCCGCCCCCCAGGCGCACCATTAAGGCGCACAATGGGAGGCAAGGAGGATGGTGCTGGTGCATTTCAACAGGCTTTGTGTGTCTGGGCCGTGCCTTTACATGAAAATAATGTCCGAAAGGGAGGGGAGAGAAGCTGGGAGGCGGAGGGGAGCATCGGAGGGCTTCCGCTGCCCCCAAATAGAGACCCCGTCGCTGGGCAGCCACTGAGGACACAGGCCAGGCAGTTGGGCCTTTACATGTTAAAATCAGGGCTTTTGTGCACCAAGGAAGACACTGCAGCCACGGGCTACAAGCTCTGGAGGTTGCCTGCCTCCGCGCCCACCCCCCCAGGAGGAATGACATCAATACTGCCTGCAAAATGCCAGGCTTCGCACACCACCTCGCTGACCCTCACGGCTCAGAGGTCAACCCCTGGGCCAGGAAATGCCAGAACTGAGTCTCCAACCTGGCCAGGCTGACCCCCAAAACCAACAGTCATGACCCTTGAACCCTGTCTCTGAAGAGCAGCAGCCCCAAGCAGAGAGGCCTCCTCCATTCACACTCTGAAAAGGTGGAATGGTTACTTTTCTGCACTTCCAGAAAGCTAAAGGCTAGGATGGGTTCCATCTCACAAGTTTCTACACATTTAGCATTACAGTTTTTGAAATGCCAAGACATAATTGTATTTTCTGCCAGCAAAGGAGTTCCTGGGTCTGCATGATGGGATTAAGTTTATCTGTTCAGCGGTGAGTGGGGGTGGGGAGAGCAGGTCTGAGAACCATCATGATCTATAACAAGTTATTATCAAGTGAAGAAGCAGCTACTGAATCCAGACTGCCCCCTCTACAATACTGCCGTAACCCACTCTGTATGATTAAGTTAGAATCAGAGAGGCTCAGAGTTAAATCCCATACTCAGAGACACACGGCATGTACCAACAGCCATCGTTGTGCCTGCTGGTCATGTCCCAAGCATTTTCCAGGTGCTTTCTGTCCCAGGTGTCTCATTTAACCGGCACAAAAACCTCACAAAGTGTTTTTATGCTCATTTCACAGATGAGGATACAGAGGCTAAGGGAGGTGAAACACCAGCCCAAAGTCTGGGGAGGATCCTAAGGCAGGATTGAGAGCGGAGGCAGGTGGGCAGGCTGACAACATCCTATCTGGCTGGGGTGGGGGTGGGGGTGGGGGTGGGCTAGGGGAGGGTGGAGCAGGGTGGGCCCCTTCACACCTGGCCCCAACAGCAAGGTGTTACTTAGACCTTTCCCATATCCAGCTCCAACCCATTTGGCTGAGAGGAACTGAGCCTGCTGAGGGACATGTAAAAGCTATCTACTCAGCCCAAGTGCTTAGCTGATGAATGATGGCATGTTTCTGCCAAACTCCAGAGTCAGGCCCCCCGAACTCTCGAGCTAAGATTCAGGAGACGGCGGGGGCCTCGGTTCCCACAGTCCGAAAGTAACAGCAGAGCCCCTCTTGAGGCACTGGCAGGGAAGGCAGTGAGAATGGGGGCCGGGGGAGGGACTCACCGGTGTGGGTCCGGACGTGGCCCTGCAGCAGCCAGGGCCTGGAGAAGGCCTTCCCGCAGGTGCTACAGACGCAGGGCAGCGTGTGGCTCCGGATGTGCATCTTGAGGGCACCCAGGCTGATGTACTCCTTGTTGCAGTATTTGCAGTTGAAGGCCTTGCGAGACTGGGGGTCCTTGGCCACGGAGAGCCCGGTCAGCTGCTTGGGCAACTGGCCCAAGCCTGGGAAGGCAGCATAGCCCTCAGCCTCCAGGGAGGAGGCTGAAGTGGACGAGAAGGACGAAGGAGCCGGAGAGGGTGGGCTGGGGGGCTGGGAACCTTTCCCGCTGTCCTCGTCGGACAGGGAGGTCAGCTCGCCAGCCTTGGGGATCTCCTGGGGCAGGAGAGAAGCCCAGCCAATGGGCTGGGCTTGGGGCGCCAAGAGAGAGTCCCAGATGAGCGTCGGCAGGGAGGCAGTGGGATTGAGGACCTCGGGGGGTGGGATGGCTGCCAGCAGGTGGGCTTGGTCGTAGGGCTGCTGGAAAGTGAGCTCTGAGCGGGGACAGAGAAGAGGGCAAGGTCAGGCGGGAGCTCAGTCAGCCAGCAGACATCAGCCTGATGTGGGCCAGGGGCTGAACGGGGCTGGTATTCAGTGCTTATCAGATGAATACCAGATTCACGACTAGGACCAGCAGTCTGAGCCCCTCTTCACCCTGGTCACCTGGTTCTCCCACTTTAACCGCCAGCTCTTCCGGGAAGAATCCCCCTTCCCTAGCTCTGACTCAAGGGGGTCATTTCCAGGTAGGTCTCCATCCTCCTGAGTTACCCAAGTATCCAGCTTGAGACCAGACCCCCAGCATCCTGGCCCCTCATCTCCCCAACTGCCAAGGCACCACACCCCTGGGACCCCCGTCCAGGCCCCCTTCCATACACATCTCTTCTCCCACACCCTCCCCCAAATCCTCTGGACTCTTTCGGAGCCCTCGGCCCGGCGTCTGTCCAGATGGAAGCCTCCTCGTCTCACTTTTGGGAGGGGCGCCCCTCTTCTCGGCGTCTGGTAAGTTTCAGTTTCCTCAGCCCAAGACCACCGCCCTCCAAAAACCCTCTCCACATCTCCGGGATCCACCTGACCCGAGCTTATTCGCACCCAGGCTGTATTTTTTGACTCTACTCTGGCCCCTCGACTTCGTCCCCAAGCCCCCTGCTCCTCCAAGGGCTCTCCCCAAGCAGCCTTCGCCTGCCTCCCCCAAACTCCCCTGGGGTCCGGGCACCCGGTCCCCTCACCTGGAGAAGAGTCATGAAGCTCACTGTAATTGGGTCTCCGGCGGGAGCCGGCAGACTTCCTGACGAGGAAAGAGCGCGGCATGGTGGCCGAAGCAGCGGGCGGCAGGGGCGGGGGGGGGGGGGGCGGTTCTCGCCGGATCGCGCCGGGATCGCTAAGCCCTCCACCCGCGACGCCGTGCAGCTGCGCTGTGAGTGGAGACGGGCCGCCGACTCCCTTAAGTACGCCAGTCGCAGGTGGGCGTGGCCCGTACCGGTCACGCCCCTTTGTCACCTCCGCGCCAATCGAGACGTGCCTTCGCCAGAGGCCCCGCCCCGAGCAGGTGCGCTGGGGGCTGGCGGGGCTCGCGCCGCGTGGCGCTGGGAGCCGGGCGGGGCCGCGCGGACGCCGGGCCTCGGGCGCGTGCATGGGCGCCCGGCGGCAGGCTGCCGGGGGCGGGGCGCTGGGAACCCCTGGACGAGGCGGGACCCCGCTTCGGGACTCGGGCGCCCGGGCTGGCTCGGCGCGGCACGCTCTCCCGCCTCTGGCGCCCTCTGGCGCCGCGTGCCGCGGGTCTGGGCACCTGACTTTCGGAGACCGCCACCGCCTCGGGTGTCGGAACTGGGAGGGGGGTGCCTTCGCCCGAAGGGTGCCTCGCAGAGAGCGTGGGATTGAACGGGCGCAGCACACAGTTCGGGGGTGGGGAGAAGCAATGGACCCCTCCACGTGGCTGCTGACAGTGTGCAATGCCACGGCCTTTTTTTTTTTTTTTTGCAAAGCTAACGGGTATCAGCTAGAAAAATGTACATACTGACTGTGTGCTCACTCACGAACCAGGCACCCCTCCCGGCGCTGGGGAGGATACAACCCTCAACAAAACACTCGGGGTCTCTGCTGAAGGGTCGCTCCCCCCCCGCCCCTCGTCAAGTGGAGGAGACAGGCGAAGTCAGACAATTCCAATGCAGAGGGAAGTGTGTTTCGAAGGGGCGGGGGAGGGGGGGACCACAGGGCACTGTGACAGTCAAGAGGCAGGTCATTTGACCGGGGGTCGGGGCAGCCTCCCAGAGGAAGTGAAGAGAATGCCGAGGGGAGAGGCCTGAGGTTAGAGGCAGTAACCTCAGAGCCACTGAGAGCCTCTCTCAGGATGGGGGTGGGGTGGGCAGGGCGGCGGGGTCAGGGCCTGGAGGAGTCTGGACTTTGCCCTAGGGGCACTGGAGAGCCGAGGAGGGACCTGTTTGGAGTTTGGTTGAGAAAGATTACTCTGGGCAGGTGGGAGAAAGAAGTGGGGAAGGGCGGAGCTCAGGTAGTTGCCTCATTCGTCTGGGGTCATCGATACTGTGTCTAAAGGACCTGAGGCTAGGCTCCAAGTGCGGGGGGTGGGGGGAGACACTGACTGATTCAGCTGTGGGGTGGGCCCAGGGGAGGGACAGACACCTCACCCCCAGCTCCCCTCTGGGCCCACCAGCTGTGAGGGCCATGCCTGTCCTGGACTGGGGATGGGGCGCAGGCCTAAACCCGCAGGTCTCTCCAACGTGTTCCCCCCTGTGAAAACCTGTTAAGTCCCTCCACTCACCACCTAGCATGAAAGCAGGGACAATTGTCTGGATCGTTAGGTGCTGTGAACAAAACGATCATCCTTACCCAGTTCTACCTGGGGAGGGGCGGGGAGGCGGGGGAGGCAGGCCACACACAGTCACTGAGAAGAACAGGGCCTCCTGTTTACTTCCCATAGTGATTTTCCACCTACATCCAGAGGGGGGAGTAACGCCATGTCCCTCTGCTCTAAACCTCCTGTGTCCCTATCTTACACAGAGCAGAAGCCGAATTCTTCACCACCGCCCTCCACCTGTGGACCTGACCTCTCCTGCGCTTATCTTGAGCCGCTCTGCCCCTCCCCCTGCACAAGATCCACCGCCTTCTTTCTGTTGCTCCACAGCCCAGCCCTTGGCACCTGCCGTTCATCTTCCCTGCCCGGGAAATCTCTCTTCCACCCAATCTTCACCAGAGTCTCTTTTTGTCTTTGTTTCCTCAGGAACTTCGTAACTGTTCAGCCTCATTAGTAAGGAGAGAAATGCAAATTAAAACCACAATGAGATACTATTTCACGCCCATCAGAAAGATAAAAAGTTAAAATTTGGTCATAGCCAGTGTTGAGGACGTGAGGGCAGGAGGACTTTGGCTCCATGCGGGCGAGAGTGTCATAGGTATGAGCCACTTTGGAAAAGTTTCGCATCAGTGAACAACAGGTGACTCTCCTAGCATTCTACGCCCAGGCCTGCTGCCTCCCAGAGGTTCTCAGCCCTGGCGGCAGATTCCCCCAGGGAACACCAAAGACTGGCTCCACCCTTGCAGCCGTTCTGATTCAATCACTCTGGGTGGGACCCTCTGATAGTAGCGTTTTTGAAAACTCCTCAGGTGATTCTAGTGAGCAGCCAAGGTTGAGAACTGCTGCCCAGCCCTAATCCCAGAAGAAATGAGAATATTTCTTGCACCCTCATTCATAATAGAAAAAAAACAAAAAAACAAACTGGAAACAACCCAAATGTTTATCAACAGTAAAAAGGATTATAATGGGATACTATACAGTGATAAAAACAAACTAAAACTCCATATAACAACAGGGATAAATCTCAAAAACATGTGTTAAGCAAAAAGAACCAACTCAAATACAGTTAGTTGGATTTACACAGTTCAAAAGCAGGTAAATGAAACCCTTTATTGTCTAGGAATGTACATAGAGGTGGTAAAACTATAAAGAAAAACAAGGAAATGTTTACTGCAAAATTCTGGAGGGTGGTTAGCTGGAGGAGGTGCTTCTAGAGAGGTTTTGATAATTTCTGGGGTTTTTTTTGAGGGGGTTAAAACATTTTTTTTTTAATTGGAGTATAGTTGCTTCACCATGTAACAGCAAAGTAAATCAGTCAGAAGCATACAGATATCCCCTCTTCCTTGGATTTCCTTCCCACTGAGGTCACCACAGAGCATTGAATAGAGTTCCCTGGTTCTCATTATTAGTTATCTGTTTTATACATAGTAGTATACTAATGTCAACCGCAATCTCCCAATCCATCCCAGATAATGTTCTGTTTTAAGCACAGAAGATGTTATCATTAGTCTTGAAACTGTACAATAGGCAATTTAGATACTTGCTAAGAATGATATATTTAACACATATTTTAAGTCACCTGAAGGGAAGCGTCTCTGATAATCCTAGCCAAAGTAAGATCCTGCCTTTCAACGTATCTTTTTTATTCCATTGCCTGCATGCTCAGTCATGTCCAACTCTCAGAGACCCCATGGACGTAGTCCGCCAGGCTTCTCTGTCCGTGAGATTTCCCAGGTAGAGTGGTTTGCCGTTTCCTCCTCCAGGGGATCTTCCCCACCCAGGGATGGAACCTGTGTCCCGCACTGGCAGGTGGACTCTTGACCACTGAGTCACCTGCGAAGCCCTTTTATTCCATTTACCCCATTCGATTTTCTTCAAGGCACTTAGTAGGGGCTCAAACAAGCGCTTGGTGAATGACTGACTACTGGCTGGACCTTCTCCTGGTCACCCTGTGCAAGTTGCTCAGCGTCTCTGAGCCTCAGTTTTCTCATCTGCACAAGGTGAGTGTGCTATCTCCCAGAGATGCCGGATGGGCAGAAGCCGGAGGCGGCTGGTCCTCGAATGCCATTGCCTGGGCCTCCTGCTTTCCCTTTCGCTGCGGGCGGTCACCCGCGCCCTGGGGGAGGTGTAAGGTGCCGGCGGGGCCTTTCTGCATCTGGGCAGTCCCTTCCCTTCCGACTGAACGGCCCTGGCGCTTTATCCTGCCGGTTCGCCCACACGCCCCTCCCTCCCAGAGACGGCGACGTGGGAGGGGGCTTTGGGCGAGGCGAGGCCCAGGGGCTGCAGGTCAGCTCCCGGGGGTGCGGTCCCGGCCGACACTTTGGATGCTGCGGTGTCAGGTCCCCCCGGAAACGGACCAGCTCTGCCCACCGCCCCCACTCCGCCCTGCGCCCGGGGCCGCGGCCCTGCGGCGCCCTCTGCTGGCTGTCCGGTGGGGCTGGACGCGCACGCCATGGATGAGGATGAAAACTGGTCCGGCTGCCATGAAGAGCAGTTTGGGAACACCTCATAGTGCCAGGACGAGGTGGCCGAGTGGTTAAGGCGATGGACTGCTAATCCATTGTGCTCTGCACGCGTGGGTTCGAATCCCATCCTCGTCGGCTTGTGGTTTCCACGCCTTGCCCCAGCTGGGGCTTCCCAAATGGTAGCTGTGGTTTTTAAGGAAAAAAAAAAAAAATTGTCTCCAGACACAGGTTCCATCAGGAAGATCCCCTGGAGGAGTGCGTGGCAACCCACCCTAGTATTCTTGCCTGGAGAAAGCAATTATTTTTACCAGCGTCTTGTATGTCCTTCCAGAGATAGTCTGTATAGAGACAAGGATATATTTGTGGATGTTAATACCTACACCCCTTTTTATGTAACACAAATGGGAGCCTATAATTTAGCCTACTTGCTTTTACCTCTCAAGTAAATAACTGCATCTGCATGTCTTCAAAGTTGTTCCATATCTTCATACTTAGCTCCCATAACCCCTTGCAGGGCTGTAGACTCTTTCATTGTGTGGATTATACCACGATCACACAGTTTATCTAACAAGGGGACTTGTGATAGGCATTTAGATTAGAATGTAATTTTCGCTACTACAAACGAGGGGGCAATTTCAGTGACTGTCTTGTATACACATCTTTGACCTGAAGTGCAAAGATATCTTGTAAAAATATTGAGGGGATTCCTTGGCAGTGGTTAGCACTCTGTGCTCTCATTGCCCTGAGGGTCTGGGTTCAATTCCTGGTCAGGAGACTGAGATCCTGCAAGTCATTTGACATGGCAAAAAAAAGCTGTTGATACATCCTCTAACAAGCTTAAACTAAATTATACTTCCACCAGCAGGGAGTTGGGGGCCCTTTTTAAAACCTGGTGGAGGCAGGGTGTTGTCAATTTTTTTTTAAATCTTTTCACATCTGATAAGGGAAAGTGAGATCGCCTAGTTACAATTTGCATTTACATGACTGGGGTGGAGCATTTTTCGAAGCCTGTGTCCTTTTCCTTTTCTCTGGGTCCTGAACTGCATCTCTGTCGTTTAGTCACTGATTTGATGAACTTCCTAATCAATAATAACTCTTTGTATATTAGGCCAGCTGACCCTGTTGATTAGATCATTAACCACTGAGTGGATCAATCAGAGAGTTAATCTCAGCCGGGAAGAAGACATTGTCCAGGAAGCATTCAATGAGTGAATCAAGACTCAATCTCCACCCTTACCCTTGATTTAAAAAAACAAAACCTCTTGAGTATCTCCCACCTGCCTGGACACAAACAGTGACTCAGCCCTGAGCCTGACTCAGAAGTCCCTCTGAGAATCAAAAGTCACCATCTCAGAATACAAAAGGGTTTCAAGGGAAGTTTCTGGGTCCAAGTCTATTGGGCGTGGCCCAGAGTTGGGGGCTCCAAGATGGATAAGCCTTTTTTGTTCCCATTTGCTGAGCACCTGCTGTGTGCCAAGTTCTGTGCGGGAGCTTCACCCACTTGGTGTCCCGTTAGCATCCCCAAGTGGTATTTGACACTCTTGGGGAACAGTTAATACATCACAGTGCAGACAGATTAGCCATCTGTCAGAAAGGAGAAAACGCTAGATGTAATGGAGTGGAATCACATCAAGACATGAAGTGATAAAAAGCCAGGTGCAGAACAGCATGTACAATGTGATGCCATTTGCATAAAAGAGGGAGAAATATGTGAGCATCTCTTAGAAATAGGGAAACAACCATTGGCAGGAGAGCTGGAAGCTGGTCTCGGGGATTGTCTCGCGGAGGGGATCTGAGTGGCAACCAGGCAGGCGGGAGAAGATGGTCTATTACATGCCCTTTCCTGTGTCTTGAAAATTTTTTAAATCATTTGCAAGTATTAACCTCATTAATTTTTAATAGGGTAGCAAAAGTTGTCCATCACAGATGATCTGTTAAATACATCAGTCCAATCAACGGAATACTTTGCAGCTGGCAAAATCTCAAATCCTGTCTAAGACTATAGAGAGCCTCCCAGGCCCCCATCTCTCTCATAGGAAAAGTCAAAATACTCACCATACCATGAGGCTCAGTGGAACTGGGCCCCTTGTGGCCCCTCTGAGCTCACTTCCGGGATGAGGCTGCAGCCACAGCGGACCACGCCGGCCTCAGAGACCTGCTCCAGCCTCATGCTCCCTTTCTGTGGAGTAGCTCCCCCGGAGACAGCCACCCAGCTCAGCTCACCTCAGGGACGTCTCCTCTGGCACCGTGTCATCCCCCTTTGCCCTTCCCCAGTCTCTCATACTCCTTACCCACCCACCCAGCCCGGTACTCGACACGTATCTGAGACCCTGTGTATTTTATTTATTTTGCTGATTGTCCTTCAGACCAGAGGGTGGCAAACAACAGCCCCCAGACCAAATTCAACCTGTGGTTTATTTTTGTATGGCCCTTGAGCTACAAATAGCTTAAAAAAAAAGAAGAAACCACTGCACAGCCGGGGAAGTCCACGAACAGCTGTTACAAACCTTTTATCGATTTGAGGAAAGGGAGCTCCATCCAGGCAAGAAGTATCTGTCTGGTTCACTGCTGTGACCTGAGCCTGGTTTACAGTAGGTGCTCAATAAATTTTAGCTGAATGAATGAACTGATAACCTTTTAAGTGAAAACAAAAAGTTCCGGTGACCAGAATATCTCACAGGCTGCCTGCTGTGCAGAAGTTAATAAATAATACCTACATGTAGGCCCACCCAGACTGTACAGTTAGACGCAAGAATCCGATTACGCCTGAGGAGGAAAGCAGATGGGGGTGGGAAGGAGACTTCTTTTTCTCCAAACTGTTTTGTTTTTTTTTTTTAATTATTTTATCATTCTTATTTTATTTATCTTTATTTTTTTGGCCATGCCATGAGACATGTGGACTCCTAGTTCCCTGATCAGGCACTGAACCTGCGGCCCCCTGTGTTGGAAGCATGGAGCAATCCCTCCAAACCATTTCTGAAGGGTATGAATGTTTTATTTCAGACAAGATCAGGCGGATTCGGGGTGGTATGGCTGTTTCAGATGTATGTTACCATTTCAAATAAAATACTTTTTCATGAAAAAAATTCAACCACAAAACCCAGGCAAATTTTAACTGCCTGCTGCTGAGACCTGGTTTCTTCATCTAGTGAATGAGGATAGTAAGTAGGGTGGCCAGCCAGCCCCGCTTGCCCAGGACTGCAGAAGTTCTGGGATGTTCCTGGGCAACCAGTAAGAGGTGATCTCCCTGGTTAGAAGGCAGTCGTCTAAAGCCTTGAGGGTGGCAGGCAGATGTGTGGGATTGGGTGGGGCCCTGAAGCTAGATGTCTCTACACCTGCCAGGCCAGCGCCGTACCTGGAGTTCCACTGACGCTCCAGACCCGACGCGGGTCCCTGGGGTCTCACGAAGGTGCAGTGCACATCTTGCCTGGCTAATCTCGGTGCGTTTGCCACGGGGGCAGCCATCCATTATCTCACAGAGTATCTGGAGCACTAATTTGCCTTGGCAGCCTCGCCCCTCAGACTGCACTGATAGCAGTCCTGTTATCTCCACTTCTGGGCAGAAGGCTGAACCTGTTTCCAGGAAAAGCCCCAGGGCTTCCTCTCTCCCCACCTGCAACCACCTGAAGACCTTTGTGCATCTCTGGACTATTGAGTGTGGGAGATACTGCCAAGGAGGGGAAAGGGAGAACAACCGCGTCCTTAGGTTAAAGGCTCTCGGCTCACAAGATGCTACCTAGCGTGGGGCTCATCTCCCCCTCTCTCCCCACTGCTCACCTGCTCCAGCCTCTGTGGCCTTCCTGCTCCGTCTTCACGCAGGTTCTTTCCCACAGCAGGGCCTTGGCCTTTGCTGTTACCTCTGCCCAGACCGCCCTTCGTTGGATCTTCCCAGAGCTGTTCCCAGCTCATCCGTCACCTCAGAAGTGCTCCTGTCACCGCCCTCTGCCCCTGCTGCCACACGAGCCCATCTGGACGGCCCGGCAAGTTCTGAGTGCTAGGCAAGGTTGTTGTGGTTCAGGTCACTAAGTCATGTCTGATTCTTTGTGACCCCACAGACTGTAGCCCGCCAGGCTCCTCTGTCCTCCACTAACTCCCGGGGTTCGCTCAGATTCATGTCCACTGAGTCCGTGAGGCTATCTAACCATCTCAGCCTCACCTGTAAAACAGGCAAGATTATCAACCCCATTTTACAGATAAAGAAACCGAGGCTCAGAGAGGTGACATGCCAACATGCTCAAGTTACAGTGAGCAAGCAATGGAATGTCCCTGGCTTAGTGGGTTAGGGTTTTATAAACCAGCCAGACAGAAACAAGCCCCTGCGCCCCTGGAGCCCACAGGTGAGGGAGGAATCTGCCAGCCTGAGGGACCCGGGTGAGTCAGAGTGAGACCCCGAGGGACCCCACGCTGAGGTCACAGGGATGGGCAGGTGAGAGAGGGAAGTGAGAAGACATTCCCAGCAGATGAGTGCTCCAGGATGTGAGGGTAGTTCAGGTGGCAGAGGCTCCGGGCTGAGTGAGCCCCAGGCCCCTTGGGCCCACTCTCCCAGGAAGCTCCAGCCACCGTGGACCAGAGAGCAGGCACGCTCCGGCCTCAGCAGCTTTGCCTGTGATATTCCCATTCTGTAAATATCTTCCCCCCAGGTGGCCCTTGCAGTTCTCGAGATTGCCGGTCTTTTCTAAAATTAGAAATGTCCAAATGGGAGTTTAGAACACTGTGGTCTGGGGACCTCCCCGGTGGTCCAGTAGCTGCGATTCCCCACTCTCAACGCGCAGGTTCCACCCCTGCTCAGGGAACTAGACCCCTCATGCCGCAACTAAGTCTTCATGCTGCCATGAAGACTGACGATCCTGCGTGTTGCAACTAAGGCCTGGTGTAAATATATAAATACTTAAAAAAAAAACACTGTTGTCTGTTTTTAATATTTGTATTTAATATGTTAACACTTTAAAGACATGTACACATGCCTCTGCAGAGCACAAAGCTGGGGCCCTGCCTCGCCCTACCCCCGGTGATTGTGTAATCCTGAACAGACCCCTTCTTTAGAACTACAGCCACCACGTAGATTGGGAGCTAAAGCCTGAACAAGCCATCTCAGAAGCCCTCCTTGCAGGCACATGTACACAGACACACACACGCCCTCTATCTTGACTTCACCTTGCTGTTCTCACTGAGTCTAAAGATAGGGTTGCCAAACAAAATACAGATATCCATTGAAACTAGAATTTAGGGGGTCTAGGATGGTTATGCACACACTGCTATAATTAAAATGGATAAGTTACAAGGACCTACTGTATAGCACATGGCACTCTCTCAGTGTTAAGTGGCAGCCTGGATGGGAAGGGGTTTTGGGGGAGAATGGATACATGTACATGTATGGCTGAGTCCCTTCAATGTTCACCTGAAACTATCACAACATTGTTAATCAGCTTTACCCCAAAGTAAAAAGTTCTAAGTGTGAAAAAAAAAAACTAAAAAAAAAAAAAAAAAAGAATTTCACATAAACCACAAATAAGCTTTCAGTATCAGACTGACAGACTTCTTGATCTGAAATTCAAAATTAACTGGCTCGCTAGTATTTTGGGGCTGCCCCAATAGCTCAGTGGTAATATCCACCTGCAACGCAAGAGATGCAGAACAGTTGGGTTCAATCCCTGGGTTGGGAAGATCCCCTGGAGAAGGGAATGACTACCCACTCCAGCATTCTTGCCTGGGAAATCTCATGGACAGAGGAGCCTGGTGGGCTAGATAAGAGTCCATGGGGTCGCAGAGTTGGACAGGACTGAGCACGCACGCGCACAAAGGGCTCGAGTTTTTATTTGCTAAATCTGGCAGCTGCTTAGAGACTGGCTGTACAGCACTCAGAGCACCGCCCCTAACCAGCCCCCCGGTGGTGACAGGCAATCCTTTGCTCACCGGGAACGACAGTCCCATGAAAATCCTTGCACAAAGGACGCTGGCCTCATCTACAACTGTGTCCATGGGGTGTGTTCCTAAGAGTCGCTCAGTCACTCTCTGCCTGGATTCCTGCGGCCAGGATGTCAGGGCCGCCACGCCTTAGACCCGCTCCGTCTCCCCAGACAGCAGCCGCCTTCCCCCTCCCGGGCTGTCCCTCAGACTTGTGCTTTCTCCTTGTCCCTCCGTCTGTCTCTTTCACTCTTTCTCTGGGTGTCTCTGACTCTTCCATCTTTCTGTCTCACCTCGTGTACGTTTTTCTGTCTCCCTGGCCTCTGCCTGTCTCAATCACTCCCAGCCGTTCTCTGTATTTCTGCCTCTCTCAACTTCTCTTCATTCTATTCTTCTCTATATAAAATACTCAAAAGCTTTGAATTTTTTAATAAGGAAATTTAAACTATTGTTTATTTTAAAATTAATTAGTTTCAACTGGAGGATTACTTGACAATACTGTGAAGATTTTTGCCATACATCAACACACATTGGTCACCGGTACCCACGTGTCCTCCCACCTTGAAACCACCCCCGACTTCCCTCCCCACCCTATCCCTCTGGGTTGTCCCAGAGCACTGGCTTTGGTACCCTGCTTCATGTAAAGCTTTGAATTAAAAAGAAATTAATTTGGCTGCATTGGGCCTTAGTTGTGGCTCGAGGATTCTTCATTGCACCCAAGATCTTTTCGTTGTGGCCCCCAAACTCTCTAGTTTCGGGATGAGGGTTTAGCTGCTCCATGGCAAGTGGGATCTGAGTTCCCTGATGAGGGATCCAGCCCGTTTCCCATGCATCAAAAGGCAGATTCTTAACCACTGGACAGCCAGGGCAGTCCTGTATATATATAAAGTACTTAGATGATGGGCAAAGATACATTTGGAAGGATGCTCACTGCAGCATGGCCCATAACAGCTGTAAAATTAATAAAGGGTTATTGTTGTTCATTTGCTAAATCTCAATGATTTAGTCTCTTTGCAACTTCATGGACTGCAGCATGCCAGGCTTCTCTGTCCTGTGCTATCTCGTGGGGTTTGCTCAAGTTTATGTCTATTGAGTCAGTAATGCCATCTAACCATTTCCTCCTCTGCCACCCTCTTCTCCTTTTGCCTTCAATCCTTCCCAGCATCGAGGTTTTTTCCAATGAGTTGGCTCTTCACATCAGTGGGCCAAACCTCACTAAAATGGAGTTGGGAGGCCAGAAAAGGGAGCTCTCATGCATATACCACTAGGAGTCAATACAGACCCCAACAGGAGATGTACCTTGCATCTGTGGTAAGAAGGGACACTATTTTACTACTGCCAGCAGGAATAAGAAAGATTATCTCCTTACTTGTCAACAGCGTGGCCACTGAGAGACTGTCACAATGCAGCCAATGACACGGCACTGTCCTTCAAGCTCCCAGTTTCCTCCAAGGGCCTTTTTGTTTATAACAGCCCCTCCCAACTTCCCCTTCTCCTCTGTAAAAGAGTTTCCTCTCCTTTATTTTACTGGACTTGCATTGAGTTTGCCACCTGTGCATGTCCCAAGTTGAAATGCTTTGCTGTTCCTGAATAAACTCATTTTATTGGTTAAAAACAACTGACTGTGTTATTGTTTTAGGTTAACAGAGTCAAACTGGAAACCTAAATACTCACTGATAAATAAAACTAAGGCCCATCCTCACCAGGAGTGTGACGCAATCATTTAAAAAAACACCACACACACAAAAAACTAAATAAATAAAAATAAAAATAACACCACAATGACAGGAAAGATGTCGAGAGAGAAATCATGGAGTGAAAAGTGCAGGTTATAATATATATATAGACAAGAAGGAAAGCATTCACCTATTTTAAGTTTCAACTTATGAAATATGACCCAAGGACACGTATTTCATTATTAAATGATCACTGACAGACTGTGGGGTGGGATGAGGAGTGGTTTCCACTTTCTTTTTTATATTTTTCTGCTTTACTTGTCTTCTTCTATTTTCTAAACAATAAGCATTATAGTTTTTTGTTTGTTTGTTTAAGGGGACCCTGGTGACTCAGCGGTAAAGAATCTGCCTGCAATGCAGGAGATGCTGGAGATGCAGGTTCAATCCCTGGGTCAGGAAGATCCCCTGGAGGAGGGCATGGCAACCCTCTCCAGGATTCTTGCCTGAAGAATCCCACGGACAGAGGAGCCTGGTGGGCCACAGTCCCTCAGGTCACAAACCGTCAGACACGACTGAAACAACCAAGCCGGGATTATAGTTTATAACACTGTACATATTTTATCTTTATCATTTTATGTATTTATACACAGGGGCACACTATTTTTTCTGAGCCATTTGAGAGTAACTTGGAGACATCATGTCCTTTACTTATATCATTTTTGGGCGGCTGCTCTGCATGGCATGCAGGATCCTAGTTCCCTGACCAGGGATTGAACCAGTGCCCCATGCAGTAGAAGCAAGGAGTCTTGACCCCTGGACCACCAGGGAAGTCCCATCACTTCCTTTAAACTCTTTCACGTCTATCTCCTAAGAACAAGGACATTCGCTTATTCGACTATGGCGTTAACTCTCAAAATCAGGAAATCTCACACTGATAAAATACTGTTACTTGTTCTACAATCCCTATTCAAGTGTTAGCAATTGGTCCGTAAACATCCTTTAGAGCAACCTCCATAACATCAAGGATCCAACCTGGGACCATGCAGCATTGTAGTTGGTTGCAGCCTCTCTGGTCTTCTTCAGTCTTGACACTTGGGAAGAGGTGGAGCTGTTTCATAGACTGTCTCTCAGTTTGGATGACTTTCCTGATGTTTCCTCACTGTGTGTGTGTGTGCTCAGTCATGTCTGATTCTCTGACTCCAAGGATCATAATCTACTGGCTCCTCTGTCCATGGGATTTTCCAGGCAAGAACACTGGAGTGGGTTGCCATTTCCTTCTCCAGGAGGTCTTCCTGATCCAGGGATCAAACCCAGGTCTCCTGCATTGGCGGCGGATTCTTTACCAATGGTGGCACTTGGGAAGCCGTTCCTTACAATTAGACTCTAGTTAAACGTTTTTCTGTCGGGACTCTCAGAAGTGCTGCATCTTCCAGTGTGTCCCATCAAGTCACCCATGATTTGTCCCATTATCAGTGATATTAATTCTGATCCCTTGGTAAAGGAGGAGTCTGCTAGGTTTCTCCACTGCAAAGATGCTAATTCTCAGTATTCACTTTTACTTATTTATTTTGCTGCGCCATCTTAGTTGTGGCACATGAGATCTTTAGTTGTGGCATGTTAAGATCTTTAGTTGTGGTATGCAAACCCTTAGTTGTGCCTTGTGGGATCTGGTTCCCTGACCAGGGATCGAACCTGGGCCCCCTGCGTTGGGAGCATGGAGTCTTAACCACTGGAGTACCAGGCAAGTCCCAAAGTTAGTAATTTTTCCTTTGTAAATAATTTGAGGGGTGATCATTTGAAACCACACAGTCTAGATGAGTTTTACAAGCAGATTTTTATAAGCAGAAAAGACTTTACATCATTCAAGTCTTGCAACCTGTAAGAACTGAGCTTGCCCACCCAATTCTAACCAATGGAGTGGCTGCCCTAACCCAGCTATTATACAATAGATGTGTTGTAAGACTAGCCCGTCTTACAAGATAGAATTTCCTACACTAGCCTAAGGATGGCTTCCTGGTGGCTCAGGTGGTAAAGAATCCGCCTGCAATGCAGGAGACCAGGGTTTGATCCCTGGGTCGGGAAGATCCGCTGGAGAAGGGAATGACAGCCCACACCAGAACTCTTGCCTAGGAAACCCCATGGACCGAGGAGCCTGGCAGGCTGCCAGAGGGTCACAAAGAGGACTGAACCTAACACTGGGAGCCTAAGAATGCACTTTACCTGAGGCTCTTTCTAAAAGAGAGATACCTAAGCCCCACCCACAGCAGCCAATCAGCATCTGGTAAGGGAGAAACCTGAGAATCTACTGTGTAGCAGCGGCATCCCATGTAATTCATATCTTCAGGGCAAGTTTGGGAAACACTTAATAGTAGTGTTTAGTCATCAGACATTTACAGCTGATTCTACACATGGACATCACCAGATGGTCAACACCGAAATCAGATTGATTATATTCTTTGCAGCCAAAGATGGAGAAGCTCTATACAGTCAGCAAAAACAAGACAGGGAGCTGACTGTGGCTCATCATGAACTGCTTATTGTCAAATTCAGACTTAAACTGAAGAAAGTAGGGATAGCCACTAGACCATTCAGATATGATCTAAATCAAATCCCTTATGACTATACAGTGGAAGTGAGAAATAGATTTAAGGGGCTAGATCTGATAGACAGAATGCCTGATGAACTATGGACGGAAGTTCATGACGTTGCACAGGAGACAGGGATCAAGACCATCCCCATGGAGAAGAAATGCAAAAAGGCAAAATGGTTGTCTGAGGAGGCCTTACAAATAATTGTGAAAAGAAGAAAAGCAAAGGAGAAAAGGAAAGATATTCCCATCTGAATGCAGAGTTCCAAAGAATAGCCAGGAGAGATAAGAAAGCCTTCCTCAGCGATCAATGCAAAGAAATAGAGGAAAATAACAGAATGGGAAAGACTAGAGATCTCTTCAAGAAAATTAGAGATACCAAGGGAACATTTCAGGCAAAGATGGGTTCGATAAAGGACAGAAATGGTATGGACCTAACAGAAGCAGAAGATATGAAGAGGTGTTAAGAATACACAGAAGAAGTGTACAAAAAAGATCTTCATGACCCAGATAATCATGATGATGTGATCACTCACCTAGAGCCAAACATTCTGGAATGTGAAGTCAGGTGGGCCTTAGAAAGCATCACTATGAACAAAGCTAGTGGATGTGATGGAATTCCAGTTGAGTTATTTCAAATCCTGAAAGATGATGCTGTGAAAGTGCTGCATTCAATATGCCAGCAAATTTTGAAAACTCAGCAGTGGCCATGGGACTGGAAAAGGTCAGTTTTCATTCCAATCCCAAAGAATGCTCAAACTACCGCACAGTTGCACTCATCTCACACGCTAGTAAAGTAATGCTCAAAATTCTCCAAGCCAGGCTTCAGCAATATGTGAACCATGAACTTCCAGATGTTCAAGCTGGTTTTAGAAAAGGCAGAGGAACCAGAGATCAAATTGCCCACATCCTCTGAATCATCGAAAAAGTAAGAGAGTTCCAGAAAAACATCTGTTTCTGCTTTATTGACTATGCCAAAGCCTTTGACTGTGTGGATCACAATAAACTGTGGAAAATTCTGAAAGAGATGGGAACACCAGACCACCTGACCTGCCTCTTGAGAAACCTGTAGGCAGGTCAGGAAGCAAGTTAGAACTGGACATGGAACAACAGACTGGTTCCAAATAGGAAAAGGAGTATGTCAAGGCTATATATTGTCACCCTGCTTATTTAACTTCTATGCAGAGTACTTCATGAGAAACGCCTGGGCTGGAAGAAGCACAAGCTGGAATCAAGATTGCTGGGAGAAATAGCAATAACCTCAGGTATGCAGATGACACCACCCTTATGGCAGAAAGTGAAGAGGAACTAAAAAGCCTCTTGATGAAAGTGAAAGAGGAGAGTGAAAAAGTTGGCTTAAAGCTCAACATTCAGAAAACTAAGATCATGGCATCTGGTCTCATCACTTCATGGGACATAGATGGAGAAACAGTGGAAACAGTGTCAGACTTTATTTTTTTGGGCTCCAAAATCACTGCAGATGGTGACTGCAGCCATGAAATTAAAAGACGCTTACTCCTTGGAAGGAAAGTTATGACCAACCTAGATAGCATATTAAAAAGTAGAGACATTACTTTGCCAACAAAGGTCTGTCTAGTCAAGGCTACGGTTTTTCCAGTGGTCATGTGTGGATGTGAGAGTTGGACTGTGAAGAAAGCTGAGCGCTTAAGAATTGATGCTTTTGAACTGTGATGTTGAAGACTCTTGAGAGTCCCTTGGACTGCAAGGAGATCCAACCAGTCCATCCTAAAGTAGATTATCAGTTCTGGGTGTTCATTGGAAGGACTGATGCTGAAGCTGAAACTCCAGTACTTTGGCCACCTCATGCGAAGAGCTGACTCACTGGAAAAGACCCTGATGTTGGGAGGGATTGGGGACAGAAGGGGACAAGAGGATGAGATGGCTGGATGGCATCACCGACTCGATGGACATGAGTTTGAGTAAACTCCGGGAGTTGGTGATGGACAGGGAGGCCTGGCGTGCTGTGATTCATGGGGTCGCAAAGACTCGGACACGACTGAGCAACTGAACTGAACTGAGGGTCTGGGGTGAGGCTGAGCACTGCATGGTCTCAGGAATGAGGAGGAAAACAGCAGTGGCACTGCTGTTGCTGTTCAGTTGCTAAGTCAGACTCTCTTGCAACCCCATGGACTGTGGCCCACCAGGCTCCTCCGACCATGGGATTATCCCAGCAAAGTGCTGGAGTGGGGAGCCATTTCCTCTTCCAGGGGATCTTCCCGACTCAGGGACGGAACCTGAGTCTCCTGCACTGGCAGGCGCATTCTTCACCACTGAGCCACCTGAGAAGCTGCTATGCTGTACCCCGGACTGTAAATTACTCACCGTTCCCAGCCTCTACTCCATCATCTGTGTAATGGGAGTGCTATCAGCACCCCTCCTGCAGGGCTGGAAGAGGATTCAATGAGATTGCCTGGTTTGGGTCACCTTTTGGGAGCTAAAGGAGGGAGGATTAAATAAAAATTACTTGAGGGATGTCAGGAACCCGGGATGAGGATTATCCACTGCCGTTATCCCTGTTCTCATAACGTCCAGCCGAGCCCTCACATGGGACATTCAGCAGGTACTGTGGGCCCTGAGAGCATCCAAGGATGACATCGAGGGCATGGGCAGGGCAGGTCTCCACCAGCTTCTTTCGGGCTCTTTTTACCACCCAAATTCTGAGCTGGAGTCACCACAGAAAAGGGAGTACCATTGTAAAAGGGTTCCCTTTAAATTCTGGGAATATTTATGGAGTCTGCTTGGAGCCAAGCATGGAGGACAGTGGCGCGCCACGCAGGTCTGGTCCTTGCCCTCTAGAGCTTCATGTGGGAGACAGCCTTTAAAACAAGTAACAGCACAAATGATAATTTAATGAGGTGTGAGCTTCCCGGCAAATAGATGTTCAGAACATTTATTCTGATAATGTATGTTCAGTAGAGCTCCCAGACTTCCACAGGTGTGGAAGTGTTAGTCACTCAGTTGTGTCCAACTCTTTGCAACCCCATGGACCATAGCTCACCAGGTTCCTCATCCATAGGATTCTCCAAGCAAGAATACTGGAGTGGCTTGCCATGCCTCCTCCAGGGGATCTTCCCAACCCAGGGAAGGAACGCAGGTCTCCTGCACTGCAGGCACCTTCTTTAACTGAGCCACCAGTGAAGCCACACATGCAGAAGGATCCTACATAAATCTATACGACTCAGAAGGGGAAGTACTTTCCAGATGTCCCACAGCCACAGGCAAAGTGCAGAACCGAAATAGGCCCATGACCTCAGAGGTTCGCGTGGGGAACCCACTACTGCGACGTCTTAGGGCTGTTGCTAAGGCATCTGAAGTCTCGTTTCATGCAACAGGGTCACTTCTTGCCTCACTGGAGCTCCCAAACGTGTGTGTCTGTGGTGGAGGACGGTGGGGACAGGGGTGGCAGGGAGGTGGGTCTGTTCTCCAGAGATGGCAGGCCCGGTAAGGCCAGCTGGTGAAGGGTCAGAGCTGACATCAGAGCCAGACGGGACTCACTCGTGACAGCCAAGAACTTCCCCTTAAAAAGCACAACGGTCTTCCAGAAGCTCCCCAAGCCCAGACTTCAGCAAACTGAGGTTAATAACAATAGGCATTACAGGGTACCAGTTGGATAAATCATGAAAATTTATTTATATTTCACTTTAAAAGCCAGAACATAACAAATGTCACTTTCTGGAAAGTCATCTTATTAGAAATACATGAAGTGCACTTAATACAATGAAATCCGTTTCTTGGTACCACTGTGAGACCACCATCAGGTTCTCTCAAATGAAGCTTTTGTTACATTTCCCTCTAAACTTAGGCTGAGATGATCTCAATTCAGGAGGGTCAGAGCAAACTTTCTCCAGAAATTACAGTGAAGAAGCTGTAACAACACCTGGGCCCTCCCGAGCGACAGCGCGTTAGAGAAAGTTACTTTCCCCACACAGGACCCCGTCCCTGCTGGTTCCTGAGCATACATGATCCCAGTGGCAGCGAGGGCGAGGCCCCCAGCAGCAGTGTCCGGGCTCAGAGCCCTGGGTCACCTGCAACCTCAGCCACTGACCAGCAAAAATATCCCTATTCAGACAGGAGGTCTAACAGGGAAAACTAAACCTAAATATGGGACATTCTGGTCTACCAGAGGCTCTGCTCCTCCAGATGAGACAGCCCATGGCCTTATTAACACTGGTGAAACAAGGTGAACTTCAAGCTTCTTGAGCTGTTAGCAAAGCAAGTTTCTGGCAGATAGTTTCCACGACCAACTGCTCCCAGGAGGTGTGCTGTACCTTCTGACCTGCGGGTCTTGTCAGAGAGGCAGCAGGTGGGGAGGCTGGACTTCCCCTAACCCCTCCGCCTCAGAAGGTAGGTCTTCGCACACTGATTGACGTGTTGAAACCAGTTTTATAAGGAAAAAGTGTGTGACAGGAAAGCAACCCTCAGGTTAATCTAAGTTGCCAAATAAAAGATGAAAGAACTAGTATCCACTGGGGCCCCAGAACTTCTTACTCATCTGAGGACTCCTCTTGTGCTTCGAGGACAAGAATGTAAGCAGGTTCCCAAATAGAGAGGCAAACATGAACAAGTCATTGGAAAATAACTCATTAGTTTGAAAAATATCAGAACCCAAAGCTGTGGCCCTCCCACCTCACTTAAGTTGACCCTTCTCCTCATTTAGTAATAAATGGAGTTTAAGTTTCCTAAGTCAGAAATGCTTCTTTTCACTAAAAATATGTGGTTACACCTTACCCTAGAAAGGCACCATGCAGGCATTTAAGGTTGAACCAGTTATTCCTAAGGGTGTGCAGGAATGGTAGGAAAACAGCACTCATCAAAACTTCCAGCATCAGACCACGTTAAGCTCAGAACATTCACTCCAGCGGGACTTGTGAAATGTTTCCCATGAGGTAACTCCAGCTTCCGGCAGCTGCTGCCAACGACCAGCAAACAGGAACTCGCACTGCATGGGAGCAGCTCCATCACCCAAGAGACACGTTATTGCCAGAGCTCACAGACCCCGAGACAAGGACAGGAGACGCTCATCTCATTTGTGCTATTCATGACCCAGGAAAGGTCCTGGCTGGCTCAGAGGACCTGAGAGATTGACACAGGATGGGAGGACCGGGAGGACGGGGTGGGGGTGGGGGTTCCCTTCTGGAGAGGAGACAGAGGCTCCGCCAAGCGGCTGAGGAGCAACAGAAGACCAGACAGGCGACACACAAGTGAGCACAGCCCAAAGGAAAGGAGGGCCCACCAGGGGGCCCGTTCCCGGTCTGCTGCACACTCAGGGGGGCGAGTCATGTTTCACACACGTAGCCGAGGCTGGGGAACACAGCCTGGGCGGGCCTGCTCACTGGTCGATGATGGAGCGCTGCAGCACCTGGTTTATCATGTCTTCCTCATCCACGTCGTAATCCTGCGGACAACACAGACGCTCAGCAACTGTGTGCAGCTGAGGACTCACTTTGGGTCGGAGAAGCAGGGCATCTGAGCAGAGCTCTGGAGAAGGGCCAGGGCCCAGCTGCACGGTCTGCATGCTGGCTGCCTGACTCTGGGCAACTGCTTTACTTCCGGGCCTCGGCTGCCTCACTGACCAGGAATATGCCCATGGCTCGCTCAGACGGGCGGGCAGCGAGGACCGGCGAGCACCTGCGTGAAGCCTAGCACAGACCAGGTGCTCAGGGCTGGAGTGTCCGGGGTGCAAACAGCCTTTTTGACTCAAGGAGGCAAAGCTACCTACTTGGGCTTGACTTGACAACTGTATTCACCTTTAACAAAAAGATGTTAATTTTGAGGTCTGAATTTCAGATACTCTTATTAGGACAAGAATAAATTACTCTTTATGACAACTCAGCAAAGAGTCATGCTTTCCGTCTTGGGTCCTGAAACACAGCCATTGAGACTGAATGCTATTCTCAAATCCTAACCTGACACCTATATATGTAAATAAAAGGTTTACTTGAGACAACTAGCTAGATTTCTGTCACCGTAATGCCAAGACAACAGTGTGCCCTTCAAAACCACTCAGCTCCTGGGAAAGGATGTAAACTTGATAACCATGTTTGGCTAGTTTTTTAATTAAATTATTTGGCTGCACCGCGTCTTCATTATGGCACACAGGGGAGTACTCAGTTGCACCATTTGGGATTTAGTTCCCCGAACAGGGATCAAACCCAGGCCCCCTGCATTGGGAGCATGGAGTCTTAGCCACTGGACCACCAGGGAAGTCCCAGTGTGTTTGATTTGACCTGAAGTACTTTAAGAAATAAATATGGGACACTTCACATGAAATTCTGCATTTCCAGCTTGGTATTGGGGCAGGAAGGAACCGGGCAACACAGTGCCGGGCTCCGCCCCAATCAGGTGGAGTTGCTGGCAGCATTAGGAGTCATATACACTGTCCAGCTTGTAACTCCCTAGGAGAATCACTTCCATGACTTGCCTGGACCCATGGGCTTCTGAGCTTAGGGATCCCAAACCAGGTTCTATAACAGCTAGAAGCCACATATGAAAGAAAGTGGATACAAATATAAGGAAGTGGATACTTCCTTAAATGCCACAGTGCTGTCATCCCAGGGAGCCCATCACGTCAGTGACAAACCCCCGCCCCGGGGGCCTGCAGTTCTCGGGTCAGAGAAGGGAGGGAGGGAGCCGTGCGGCCCGCCAGGTTGGGGGGGGTGGGTGGTGGTTAGGAATCAGAGCCCGGGCTGCAGACTCACCACGAAGGTGTCATAGGAGAACTGGTGCCGGCGCTGCAGGTGCTCGATGAAGTTGGCGCTGCGGTAGTTGGGGTCTCCCCAGGGCATTGAGGCACATATGGGACACACCTTCCGGCAAAGCAGCACAGTGTTAGGGACTGGTTTAGGCATTTGGCACCTGAGCTGACATCAGCCCTCTGTGGACTGCGTCCGGTCATCTTTCTTCCAGGATAGCTTTCCTGACTCCTGGCCCAGCACCTGTCACACCCTCAAGGGCACATTCACTTCCCAGAAGACATCAGTCTCTTGCTGACAAACATGCAGGGCAGGGTGTGGGTGGTGGGGAAAGGCTTAAGCCATGATACCATCCATTTCTAATCCCCTACTAAGTAGAGAACAGGGTGTCAGCGTGTCCGACCATGAGGGGCCCAGACGGAGCCTTCCAACCCAGTGGGAAAAATGGTAAAGCACCAAGAAAACCAAGGAAACGACAGGTGAGCAACGTCCCGAGGAAGTAACACAGTCTTACATGCTATTTTTATAAAGTAAATGTTCAGATGAAGGGGCTCAGGGTGAAAAGCCTTCACACAAGAGGCTGATTCTAGCTTTGAAGAGTCGGAGGTATTGGAAAGACAAATAGTACATGGCAAACAGCCAATCAGTGTGGCTAGGATGGAAAATTCCTGGAGAGAGGCAGAGAGGAGTGGGAAGGGGGAGAACCAGGCATAAGTGGTCTGGATTGGACACGGCATGTCACCATTTACTTTACAAGGAAGATATGGTGACAAAGGGGGCTGACACGAGAAGCATGTGACATGCTGGGTGACTCCTCAAGTGGAAGAGCTGGTGCTGAGGAGCAGAGTACAGTCAGGACCAGAGTCTGAGGAGGAGACGTCCGAAGGGAAGGGCTCAAACACTGACCCTTAGTGAGTCCTGCAGAAGGAGGGCAGAACGGGGAGGTGCAAGGGCTTTAAAGAGATCAAGTGATCAGAGGGTTTCAGGAAGCCAGAGAAGGGGGAAAAGGAGAGAAAATTAAGCCGCAGTATCAGATCCCACAGAGCGGTTTAGCAATACCTGTCAAGATTATGAATATACTTAATACCTTTGACCTAATTAATACGTATCTAAGACTTTACTAATTTTTTTTTTTTTTTTTGGTCAGGAAATAGAACTTACTGATGGCCTTGACTGAGAAAGGGACAAGGCCTTGTCCAGGGGGCCATGATTAGGGATGAAGCTGACCCTAGAGGTATCTGGGATGGGCCCACTTCTCAGCCCCCAGGTTTTTAAATTCATCTGCATTAAACTTAGCAAATCCCTGCTTCTTGAAGATATGGATCTTCTGGTGGCCAGGGGAACTTGAACTTGGCCTTGAAAAGGGCTTCAATCACACGCTCCTTGTTCAGCAGCTTGGTGTCGATGGACATTATGACTTGGTCAATGTGGGCTCTGGCCACTGTGCCTTGGGGCTTTCCAAAGGCACCCTGCATACCTGTCTGGAGCCTAGACTGGGAACGCCACACAGGAATGTCCGTGGGAAAAGCCTATCTCCAAGGTCCCTTAGGGCAACCCATCCAAGCAACAGGCTGCACATACTACCAAGGAGGATGCTGTCCGCGGTCACTGTACGCCAGGCCCCGGAGAAAGGAGCATAGTTAGCTCAACTGGGGGCAGTTTAAGACTTTACTTCACAGACATACAAAAATACAGGTGAAGGTGCGTCAAAATCCATGGCAATCTTTTCAAATGCACTATGAAAAACTTCAGAACTATAGGAAATAATAATTTAATAAACTATTCCTTATCCCCAACACCTAGATTTAAGTGTGGCACACTTACTTCAGCAATAAATGAAGCATATAAAAATAAGATACAATTCACCCTTTACTCTTTCAGAACAGTCCTAAAAATGTGTTTACCTTTACAAATACAATATTACTTATTATCTCACCCATCAATCAACCATTTTTTAGCAGCAATTAATATCCAGTCTTTAAATTTCGGAGAGTCCTTAAATTAATATCCAGTCCTGACATTTGTCAATAAGGGACCAGTTAAATCATGGTACAGACCAGTAATGGAAAACTGGCAGCTCATTAAAAAAGAATCCGATCCACATGTACTGATGTGAAATCGACGTCAGTGACGCCGGTTACAGTGTGCAGAATGCGCCATCACTGGCATCAAAAGGGGGACAAGAAAGGAGGACATGCATGAGTCATACTTCCGATCGAAAGCTAGAAATGTGCCTGGGTGACACAATTTTGTACTTTCCACACACACAGTGAGCATTACTCAGAGGCCACTGGGTAGCCCACAGAGGTGCCTCTGATGCCGTGAAGATAGAACTGGTTTAAGTGCCAGGATACCGGGTCCCAGTACTGGTTTTTGCATTAACCAGCTTCATCCACTTAGCGTGGGTAGCATTTGTGGGCTTCCAGAAATGAGTGCAGGGAAGATGGTGGCAGGAAATGAATGAAAGTATCTCTGTCATTTGATTTAACATCCGTTTTAGTTTTCATAATTAGCAACAGAGTTGAGTTTACCTGGCTAACTTTAAAATGGAAAATGGGTAGTGGGGGCAGGTGGTGGCGGCTGTGTGTCTGTGTCTAAGCTCATTTGCTCTTTCAATCAGTAATTAGTTATTAAGAACTGTAACTAAAACATCTTGAAGCAGCAGCCGAAAACTTGGCTTTGGGGCGTAAGATAAATGAGAAAATAGAAATGAAACTAGTGAGACAGTTGTATTAAGACCCCGTCTGGCAATCATATTAAGAGGGTAGGGTAACACTGCTGAGGTGGACCAAATTTGAACTTTTCTTTTTTCTTAAGAAAACCACATGTCAGCCTAGATATTTAAATTAAATGTCAAAGACTGATAAGCACTTTCCTAATACTTCCATCTAAATCCTCTTTCTCCACAACTATGAAGAAGCTATTCAAATGGAAAACAGCATCTTTATGTAGAAACTTGGCAGACACCAGGAGATCCAAATTAACATTACCAACAATGGGAGCAAGGGACATCACTTGACTTCCGTGATGTGTATGCAGAGGATAGCCTATGTAATCATGAAGAAACAGACAAACCCAAAATGAAAGACAAGCTACAGAACAAGTGGCCCACCCTCTTTAGAAAATGTCAAGGTCATGGAAGAAAGAAAAACTGAGGACTAAAGAGACTCAACATTCAAATATAACACAGATCCAGGATCTGTGGGCTGGGGAAAATTGCCTTGAAGGACATTTCTACTGTTAAAATTTAGACATGAATTGCAGATAAGGTATTAGCTTATATCAATGCGACGATTCCTGAGTGTGAAAATTAAAACACAAAAAATGTGGTTTTCTAAAAAGATATACTTCTTCCTAGGAGATATGTGCTAAAGTATTTAGGGGCAAAGGGTCATGATATCTGTAACCTACTCTGAAATGCTAGCACAAAATATGTATACAGAGTATGGTTAAGCGAATATGGTAAAAATTTAATCTGTGAGTCCACCTGAAGGGTAAATTAGAGTTCATTAACTAATCCTGTAACTTTTTGTAAAGTTTGACTTCTTCCCCCATAAAAATTTAAACAAAACCCACAAAACAACTCAAGTTTTCTCTTACCACAGATTTGGTGTCCGTGCTATGGGATAACTTGCAGTGTTCCACAAGTCCTTCTTGATCAAAATTCTTCTCAGGACAGTAAGGACAAGGAAAAGTATAACGGTTTGGGACACTTCTGGAAGATGAAAGGCAGGAAAAAAGAAGAAACTTCTCTGTGAGTATCTTCCCACACAATCTCAACCACTGTCCCCTCCCCAAGGAGCAAAGTTCACTCAATGTGTCACGACAGGGATTCTGGTGATCCTTCTGAGTCAGGTCACATGTTTTGAAAGTAACAGTCTAGCCCGCATTTAAAGTGAACATGCGAGCCCTCCATAACCACCCCAAAACAAAAACTTACACCAGCTTTAGCCAGCCTAACAATTACACCTCTGCTTTCCAAAACTCATGAAGAAAGACATCCACTGAAGAGAGTGATAGAACCATTTACCTTGGCAGAAGAGACGCGTCCTTGGTGGTGGCCTTCACACCTTCCATGATGTAATTCTGGTATTTGGAACAGGTAGCCACATGTGCCCGGATCTTGGACAGGAAGAACTTAGGCAGGAAGAATCGGAGCCCACAAGTTAGCTGGGATCTTGTACCCAATCCAACACAGTCCCAAAGCAAAGGCAAGACGTAAACTAGACCTATACTGCCCTGGCGAGGCAAAGAACCTCACGAGACTCCTGGCTCCACTGAAGGGACTGAAACTCTGACTTTTTTTTGCAGGGTTTCTATTAGTATCAAGGCTGATGTTTTACTTGAGCAAACCAGGATATCTGCCTCCACTCTAAAAGCACCCTCAGAGAGGTTTGTTTTATTCATGATATGCTCTCTGCTCAGAGACACTCTAAACCCAGTGCAGTGTCTAAAGTTTTCTACTCCAGCACTTTAAAACTAGTCTCCTTTCAGCATGCCAAGAACCATATTCCATTATAAGTGCAGCAGAGAAAAGTGATGATTTACATAAAAGGGATAAAGGCCAGTAATCCTAGTTAAACAATAATATTCTGTCACCAGATTGTGATAAGTGAACTTCTTACCAAAAAGAAAAAATAATAATCAGATTCTGAATTCTACTTCATTAATAAAATCTAGTCTTTGCAAGACAGAAAGACAAAAGAAAGCCCAGAGTAGAGTGTTTCATCATAGGTGTTCTAAAAAGAAAGAAAAAAATTAAGGAATGAAAAATGAGGTAAAAGGAAGATAAACATTTCTGGAGGTAGAATACACCTGGAAATAGAATATAACCACTAATCTTTACAATGAAAGTCAAAAGCATATAGAAAATTCTTTTAAAAGTAAGATGAAGTAACAGGAAATTTTACTTCAATATCTTAAGTTTGTAAATCAAAAGAAACTATAAGGAAAAATATGTTTCAGTACTTGCACTCTGGCTTACCATGATGCTTCTGTCTGTCTTATCTCCAGCTAAAGAACTTGACTTCAAGCTGCCACTCAAAGAGCTCCCAGTTAAAGGGGATGGGAAATAGCTCTATTCAGAACTACAGCCACTGTGTACTCCTAGTGCTAAATCACTCTGAAAGGAGGAAATGGTAAAGGGACATCCAGTCTATGGCTGCTCACACTAAGGTGTTAAAGTAATGAAACTGACATGCAAGGATGTCCGATAAGTCAGGAAGTGAAAAAAAATTTTCAAAAGTGTAAAGAAGTTGTAGAAATATGTATTATAGTAGATCTTATTTTGTAAAAATCCTACATCTATGTTTGTATAAAACCCACACCTGTGTTTGTCAGAGAGCAGAAAAATGTTTTGCAGCCTTCTAAATTGAAGTATTTTTAAAGAGGTAATCTCCGGAGTGGAGAACAAGCCCACATTAATTTATATTTTTGGGCTGTCTGGAATTAATGAAATCGCAATTATTTAAAACCCAATAATTCTGCATATATCTCTTTGGAAAATAAAATAGTATTTCTCCTGTGCAGTTATAATTATTTTAAAATAAACATTCTTGAATCTAATATGGTCATACAAAAAAAGAACATGGATGCACTTCAAATACTGGACATCGCTATTATCAAATGTCTTCTTACTGACCTTTGTACAACAATTCCTATTTGCCAAGTGCCAAAAGCTGAACAAGTTTTACATCTGTAGTAAAATACATCACAAAATTTCCCCTCAAACTCACTGCAGCAGGTAACTTTGAGGCGCTGACTTCATTTTATATTTTAAAAAATGGAGAAATATCACTCTGTCATATTCTAATTAAATTTGTGTATGCTGCTTTGGGAAAAATGGGTCTGTTACAGAAAAAAACTGGGATAACTGATTTCTATGGCTTTCAAAGCTAAGCTATGTAATATGCTAAACCAACTCGTTAAAAGAAAAAACCAAACCACACAACCAATCAGCTTACTAAAATGCAGCAGCACGGCCGCGGCCGCAGCCAGCCAGCATGCACTCGTGCTGTTAGTCACTCAGCCACGCTCTAAGTTCAGAAACAAGGAGGCAACAGCTCTATGTTTTACCCATCTTACAGACAGACACTGACTCTTCCGTTTCACTTCCACATACATTTTTACGGCAGCCATGGCAAGAAGTCTCTGTGCTCTCAATCTGCCGCTCGAGCTCCACGGCTCGGACGCCAGGTGCCAGAGTGCTGCGACACACCCCACAGACAGGCTTCTTCGGCTTCAGACATTCCTGCAGGCATGCAGAGCAAAAGCTAGAACAAGACATACAGAGAACCTGCGTCATGCATCGTGGAGACAAAACAACAAAAATGGATAAACTTTTCAAAATGACATCAATGGATAATGAATTAAAAACTACTCGCTCTCTGCTCTTGATTCAGTCTTTCTGGGCAAGAAAAATGGTGGCGGTAGGATCGGGGAGGTGGGCAGTGTTCCTTGCAAAGAACACACAGGTCCAACGGCAAAAATAAATGCAAACTACCATGACACATGGCAGAAGGTGCTATGGCACAGTCTTCAGTCCTTAGTCCTGGCCACTGAGGGATCTTGCTGGGGTTTCTCAAACTTCAGTTTCTCTTCTGTGGAGACTGCAGTACCTACCTCTAGAATTTAGGGAGGATGGATTATGTATAGTGGACTCTTAGGACAGTGTCTAGCACATATGAAATGCACCATAAGCAGGAGCAGCCATCAACAGAGGTGAATGCAAAGCACTATGGAAACACAAAGTCAAGAGCAGCCAGCTGTAACCGGAGAAAGACAGTAGTGGTTAGACTTCAGACAGCATACATGAAAGAGCCTTAGAAGAGTTCAGCGGTAGAGGAGGGGAAGAATATTTCAGGCCCCTGGACTTCCATTTCCTTACATGCATCGTGCATATTTACCACTCTGCCTCATAAGCCCCAGGTACTTAAAGCAAGGTATCAACCAAACCAAAATCAAGTTTTAGAAAAATAACTCTGGGATTAGCATGGACAATAGAGTTGTCAGTTTTAATTTTTTTTTTTTTTTTTTAGATAAGAAAAGAAACCAAATAGATGGCCGAAGGCAAGAGATCATGAGGGCCTGACTGAGGCAATAAAGAATTCAGGAAATGATTCAGGGGTGGATTCAGGACGACTTTCCAAATTTACTGAATTTGGAAAAGAAAAGAAGTTAAAGATGACCAACTTTCTGTACATCTGAAGCCTAGACAGGTGGTAATACTGAGATAAGGTACAGAGAAAGAAGGAATAATGAGGCATGAAAGTAGCCCAGCTGCACTTGCAACCTCAGAGATCTAAGGCAAGATAACAAAATCTGCCAGGAAGAACTCTGGATATATAATCAAAGGGAATCTGTATATATATATTTTTTACTGTCTCTAAAAGTTTTCTACCTTTTTGTCGTTTAGCTAGATGTTAATGCGGTTTTAGCTGTGACTCAGAGATCAATGTTCACAAGCCACTCTGCCCGTCATGCCTAACAAACAAGCTTGCTCTTAAATGGCCCCTGTATCTTGGACAGGCTTCCCTGGTGGCTCTGTGGTAAAGACTCTGCCTGCCAGTCCAGGAGACACAGGCTCGATCCCTGGGTTGGGAAGATCAACTAGAGAAGGAAACGGCAAGTCACTCCAGTATTCTTGCCTGGAGAATCCAATGCACAGAGGAGCATGGAGGGGTACAGTCTATATGGTCGCAGAGTCAGACATGACTTAGCGAGTAAACAATGTTGGTCTGGCTTTCAGTTTCCATTTCCTACTGATGGGCCTTTTTCAGCCTTCTAGATGGCCCACCCTTCCTGTTATAATGCTCCGTAGACAAGTCCTTCTCTTGGGCACCCAGCCACCTGCCAGTCTCCAGCTTTACTCCACTAACGTAGAGAGGGATGTAAATTCAGGGCGTGAAATAAAGTTTTATAAGAACTCAATGCCCCATGCAGCTGGAGCTGCAGTGATGCTGTTTTCAAGCACAAAAGGTAGCAAAAATCAACCAGGCAGAGCAAAAAGCACTCAGTGGGAGCTAAGGGAGATGTGGGGGCCCTCACCGAGATCCCACCATCTGTTTTCAATCAGCATCGAACTGATGAACACGTGGAGCTAGTATGGTGAGTATAGATAAGAGCTAAGGTTTGAATATCAGTACTGCCCCTTGACCTCTGACCTTGGAAAGGTCCACCTGGCTCAAGGAAACCTCAAATTTCGTTACTCTTTAGTTGATAAACTGTGCTGGGTCAGATCTCTTTATAGTGTTAAATGTCACTCCCCTGTCCCCACTCACACAGGCTTTATCTCTGTAATACCTTCCCAGTGGACAATGAGTTTGACTGACAAGGGTCTGAACACGCCTAGTACTTATTTATCATCAACTTAGTGGACTGTGAACTCTGAGGGCAGAATCACCTTGTTTCTTAGGATGTTCCCCAATCTGGCACATAGTGTGTATACAAATATTTTTAGCTAGTTGAATATAAGATTGGAAAATAGTTGCTCAGACACTACATTGGGCACTTGGGACAGAAAGAGGTGCAAAACACTGCCCTCATGAGCCCAAAGTTTTGCTCTCTGAAAGGCACGAGGAGTCCTCCGAAGAGAAGCAGGGAGGTAACTGAAATAGGGAGAGTGACAAGGGAGGTTACCAGAACTGGGCCTTGAAGTCTGGAAAGGATTTGGGGTGGTGACGGGGGAGGGGCTGAAGGGGCAAGAAGACTTCCAGGCTAACCGAACTACAAGCAGGAAGAGCCTGAAGCTGGAAAGAGTTTGGTGTCCTACGAGCAAAAAGGCATCCGGGTGGCTGAGGAGCCCTGGGCAGGCAGACACCCGCGGTCCATCAGGCGAGAGCGGACAATGCTGAGCCGGCCCAGAGGGAGCCTCGGTGCCCTCACCTGCAAAATGGCTGCCACGTCCCTCCCCGCGCAGGGCTGCTTCAGGAACAGGAACGCCCAGCAGGTGCCCGCTGTGCCTCCCGACCAACGGAGGGGCCCCAACACCAACCCCAAGCGATGCCCACGGTGAGAAGCGCTGGGGGAGGCCACAGGGCAAAATCCAACCCCCAGCAGCAAGAAGGGGGCAGCCACACTTTCTACAATTCTTTCCACTCGGCCGTTTTGCGGGTCTGATGGAGCAAGGCTTCCATTCAAATCTGGCCCACTCTCAAAGCCCACCCCAGAGCCTGTCACTGGACATTCTCACAAAAGCTCTTTTCGTCCTCATAAGCAGTCTCTAAGCAGTATGGAGGCTCTGGATTTCAAACAGAGCGCAACAAACCTCGTACGCCTGTGGGAACGCTGACAACCGCTACCTGCCAGCTCCCGACCCCTTTCCCGTGAAGGGCAGACGGGTCAGGTCTACTTCAGGACTCTCCTTTTGTCCTTTTGGTCCAGTCGACCGTTTCTCCAACTTCGGAGCACATCGGAACTGCCGGGCAGAGCCGGGCACAGGACACAGCATAACTGAGGGGCCACGGGCAGCCTATATTCACGGGGACCCGGCGGGCCTCGGGCTCCACCAACCCGCCAACAGGGTGCCACTCCGCCATCACGCGTGGGAGGGGGGCCGGGACACAGCGGGCGCTCAACGCAAGAGGCGGACGCTAGGGAGGAAGCGGGGCGGAAGAGAAGAGCGCCCCGCCGACGTCCACGGGCCCCCGGGAGCCCCGAGAAGACGCGCCTCGAGGCCAGGCCTCCCGCTCCCGCCCGGGGACCCTTCCTGCTGGGGCCTCACTCCTCAGCTCCATCTTCCTTCCAGTCAGGAGAATCCCCCTCCCCACCACCACCCCGACCGGGCCCAACCCGCCACTTACATGTGTCCGCAGGGCACCTGCACCGGCTTCTCGTACACCTCCAGGCACACGGGACACGTGAAGCGGCCCAGGGGGTCGGCCTCTGCCGCGGGTCCTGCCAGCTGCGCACCACCATCACGGGCCTGGGCCTGCGCCCGCGCCGCCATCTTGCCGCCGCGGAGCGCCGCGACTCAGCGGCCGAGGAGGAGGCGGCCGAGGGGCGGAGCGAGAGCGGTGAGGGGCGCTCGGGGCGTGGCTTATTGAACGTGTGTCGGGCTGGGGGCGGGGCTAGAGGGCGGGCCACGCCTCCCGGGCCCTCAGACACCAGGGAAAAATGCAGACCGGGATCCAGAGACTGGTATGAGTGAAGGAGGGTTTGTGCTTCAGCCACTTTTGCCCAAAATTTAAATGGTTGTTGCGATTACTTAATATTTACTCGTGCACTATTCCTTAATCTTTCTCTTCAGTCGAGTTTCAGCAAACAAATTTTACAGGGAGATTTGATATCACCCCCAATCTACAAATAGAAAATCAACACCACTTCTTTCCACAAGGCACGGGAACAAATAAAATAGAAACAATATACTTTTATGAATTCGTGCCGGATACTGTTGACACAGAAAAGGGAGATTTAAGCATGATTAAAGAGGTGTTGAAGACAGGCTATCACCACATTGAGACTTCCTAGTGAAAGCAGAAGTAATAAAATTATTTAATATTGTCTTCACATGCCTCCTGGCCAGGGGGTCCAACTCCAGCTCTGTAGAAGATAGGGAGCCTGGGGTTTGAAGAGATAGACTAAACCTCAATCTTAAAAGAAGCAGGCCTAGACCCCAGATGTTTTGAATCTCATCTTTCTTTACTTCCCACTGCACTGAGTTGGCTCTCATATACAGCCCAATATAACAAAAGCTGCATTTTTTTTTTTTAAGGCAGGCTCTGCTAACAGGTCTGTGTGGTTTTCTTAATCAGGAAAGTCAATGATCAATTAAACTCTATCCTGTAAGGCCACAGAGGCCTCACAGTAGAGTCTGCACAAGACAAATGAATCAGTTTGCTAAACCAGGTTAACTGAATGCAAATTTGCACCTCATTTGGCCCATTCCCAGTCCTCTGGATTGATTCTGCTTGACCTGCTGGCAGCAGGAGGATTATTTTTAACTAGCCATATGGGCCATCTTTTCACTAACCAGTAACTGGGTGTGTAGGCAGCAGCCCAAGAGAGTCAATGCTTTCATTTTACCATTTTTTTTTCTTGTTCCTATGCCAGGCACTGTGCATCTGACATCTCCCCAGCCCAAAGTGCTCTGTCTCCTCTCCAGGAATGGGGGTGCTTCTGTGGGGGCAGAGGTGTGTTGTAGGTATTTATAAGCTTTTGTTTTGGCCTTGTAACTGCCGCCAGATCCTGTGCTGTGAGCAGGGAGGGTGGTGAGGGCAGGGAGTCCCAGACTCGGGCTTCAGATCCACTGAGCACCTCCAGTCTGAGCTCTTGAAATGAACTTTCCACAAACTCGTCCGTACCTGACCCGCCTCTTGAGAAACCTGCAGAGTTAGAGCTGGACATGAACAACGGGCTGGTTCAAAACTGGGAAAGGAGTACGTCAAGGCTGCATATTGTCACTTTGCTTATTTTACATATAGAGTACATCATGTGAAATGCTGGGCTGGATGAAGCTCAAGCTGGAATCAAGTTTGCCGGGAGAAATATCAATAACCTCAGATGTGTAGATGATACCACCCTAATGGCAGAAAGCAAAGAGGAACTAAAGAATCTCCTGATGAAGGTGACAGAGGAGAGTGAAAAAGCTGGCTTAAAACTCCACATTCAAAAAATGAAAATCATGGCATCCGGTCCCATCACTTCATGGCAAAAAGGGGAAAAATGGAAACAGTGACAGACCTTATTTTCCTGGGCTCCAAGATCACTGAGGACAGTGACTGCAGCCATGAACTTAAAAGATGCTTACTCCTTGGAAGAAAAGCTATTACAAACCTAGTCAGAGGATTAAAAGCAGAGACATTATTTTGCTGACAAAGGTCTGTATAGTAAAAGCTATGGTTTTTCCAGTAGTCATGTATGGATGTGAGAGTTGGACCATAAAGAAGGCTGAGTGCCAAAGTATTGATGCTTTCAAACTGTGGTGCTGGAGAAGACTCTTGAGGGTCCCTTGGACTGCAAGGAGATCCAGCCAGTCCATCCTAAAGGAAATTGACCCTGAATATTCACTGGAAGGACTGATGCTGAAGCTCCAATACTTTGGCTATCTGATGCGAAGAAAAGACCCTGATGCTGGAAAAGGTTGAAGGCAGGAAGAGAAGGGGGCGACAGAGGATGAGATGGTTGGATGGCATCACCAACTTTATGGGTAGTGAAGGACAGGGAAGCCTGGTCTGTCTGCAGTCCATGGGGTCGCAGCAAGTTGGACACGACTCAGTGACTGAACTACAACAATGAGAAAGAAGAGGACAGGATTGAAATAATAGTATATTAATAGTGAACTTTGGGGTGCTTATTTTTCTAAGCACTTTACATGAATCCACACAGCAAGCTATGACAGGTTCTACTATTTGCATTTTTTCTGTGTGCTTAGTCTTGTCCAACTCTGAGATCCCATGGACTGTAGCCCACCAGGCTCCTCTCTCCATGGGATTTCCCAGGCAAGAATACTGGAGTGGGTTGCCATTTCCTCCTTCAGGGAATCTTCCTGACCCAGGCATAGAACCGGCGTCTCCTGTGTCTCCTGCCTCAGCAAGCGAATTCTTTACCACTGAGCTATCTGGGAAGCCAATTTGCATTTTACAATCATGCAAATTGACGCACAGAGGTATTAAATCACCTTTTAACACAGATGGAACACAGGAATCAGGATTTTCCCCGGCAATCCAGTGGCTAAACTTCCAATGCAGCGGGACCAAGGGGAACTAAGGTCCATATGCAGCAGGGTGGGGCTAAAAATGTTAAAAAGGAACAACCAACCAAAAAGGAGTGCCAGTCGCTCTCAGACTCTTGTATGCATTGGAGTCACCTGCGGGGGGGATTCTGAAAATAAGAGTTTCCAGCGTTTCAAATTCAGCATGGCCCAAGGATCTGCATTTCTAACGCTTTCCCCAGGTGGTGCAGCTGCTGCTGGTCGGGGCTGCACTTTGCGAACCATTAACCTACTTTATACCCCATACCCTCGCCCCAGTCAATGCTTCTGTTGTTGCTCAGTTGTGTCTTGTTCTTTGGGACCCCATGGACTGTAGTCCACCAGGCTCCTCTGTCTGTGGGATTTTCCAGGCAAGAATACTAGAGCGTGTTGTCATTTTCCTACTCCAGGGGATCTTCCTGACCCAGGGATCAAACCCGTGTCTCTTGTGTCTCCTACATTGGCAGGCGGCTTCTTTACCACTGAGCCAGCTGAGAATCTAGTACAGGTGGTTCCTAGCCCTCAAATCAAGTAACCCTCAGAGTCTTATCTCTCAACCTCAGGTCACACGTAAAATGTATTTATTACTATGCTTGTCTGAAGTAGGTAGAACTTAACACCATTATGCATTTCTACATTTATTAATCTATGGGTAGATAATTTCATCTCAACGTCAGCAGTTCTTCAAGATTGCCAAATTGCTAGCAGAGAGCCGTAGGAATTCCCACCTGCACCACTAGGGGGCGAACGAGTCTCTCACAGGCTCACCGCACCTGGCCCAACTAGGAGGAACAAGGCTTGGCTTGTTCCTAAATTTTCCTGGTTGCTTAAATGTAGACTGCCCCTATCCCTTGCAGCTTACTCATGGCAAATAGATGGGGGAAAAAATGGAAACGGTGGCAGACTTTATTTTCTTGGACTCCAAAGCCACTGTGGACGGTGACTGCAGCCATAAAATTAAAACATGCTTGCTCCTTGGAAGAAAAGCTATGACAAACCTAGATAGAGTATTAAAAAGCAGAGACATTACTTTGCTACAAACGTGTGTCTAGTCAAAATTATAGTGTTTCCAGTAGTCATGTATGGATGTGAGTTGAACCATAAAGAAGGCTGAGCACCAAACAATTGATGCTTTTGAACTGTGGTGCTGGAAAAGATTCTTGAGAGTCCCTTGGACAGCAAGGAGATCAAACCAGTCAATCCTAAAGGAAATCGACCCTGAATATTCACTGGGAAGACTGATGCTGAAGCTGAAGCTCCAATACTTTGGCCACCTGATGTGAAGAACTGACTCAGTGAAAAAGACCCTGATGCTGGGAAAGATTGAAGGTGGGAGGAGGAGACGACAGAGGATGAGATGGTTAGATGATATCACCAACTCAATGGACATGTATTTGAGCAAACTCCAGGAGATAGTGAAGGACAGGGAACTCTGACATACTGCAGTCCATGGGGTCGGAAAGAGTCAGACATGACTGAGCAACTGAACAGCAACAACTTAGGATGGAAGTAAAAACCAAAAAGGAAAAAAATACTGGGAAAAAAACAAAAAAAAGAACACAGTCTTGGATTGCCAGGACTTTTAACATGAGTGACACTGGCATGTAAATGTCTATTTAACCAATAACTTCTATGTGTCAGGTATCCTGAGAGGTGGTGGAATTTGGGCAGTGAACGATTCAGCTATAAAAAGGAAAGACCCAGGCGGATGACCACATAAAAAGGCTGCTTCCAGAATATTGCTGTTCATCAGTCACTCCACCAGCTCATTGCTTTTGCACAGCATTTTGCAATTTGTATTATATCAAGCCATGCAATGAGGTACAAACAAGGTTAATCCAGAAAGATCTGATAATGACTAAAACTAAAAAATGGATATTATGGTTGCCCCCGGGAATGTCTAATCTACTTTCTGTCTCTTTGAATTTGCCTACAATAGGCATTTCTGGTAAATGAAATCACACAATGTTTGTCCTTTGGTGACTCGCTTCCTTCACTTAGCACAGTGCTTTCAAGGTTAATTCATGGTGTAGCATTCATCAGAACTTCATTCCTTTTTAATGGCTGAATAACATTCCATTGTGTGGAAATACATTTTGTATATCCATTCATAAGTTGATAGACACTTGGGGCCTCCCTGGTAGCTTAGACTGTAAAGAATCTGCCTGCAATGTGGGAAACCGGGTTCGATCCCTGGGTCGGGAAGATCCCGTGGAGAAGGAAATGGCTACCCACTCCAGTATTCTTGCCTGGAGAGT